CCACGCAACTGACTTGGGGAAATGCAGATGTTGATGTCATGCAATAGCAGTGTGAATATTTTAATTACTTCACATTTTAGTCCATTAGGGATTGGAATGAGGGAGACAGTATTCTATTCCATGTCCCTACCAATCTCATCTCCCCGTGACATGATCAAGTAAAAGCAATATGATCGCTTACGAATAGGGTATTCAAGCAAAAGTCACTCGGTGATCAAGATTATTGGACAAACAGAGAACTATATCTAGAATGTAAGGCCCTAATCTTCTGATAAAGCAACAGACTTCTAAGATTGAACGATTCCTTAGAATCTACATCCACATGTCTAAGCTATTAGCCTATTAGAATCTACCTTAAGAAAATCAGTGAATGAAGTACACCATGGTTGCTCAATACACTTCTTATCTGAATGATTAAATGGGACATATTATATCGTTGCAGAAAGGAATAGAAATTATTTCATGCTTGCCATTCAACAAGCCCATAGAGCCACAGAGGTGATATTCTTTGTATGCACAGAATCGTGGTAAACCAGAAACTGCCAAATGTTAAGAAAATCAAACTCAAGTACTTAACAGCCAAAATCACTACTGCAGTACTGCTCTATTTTTAAGGTAACACAACAGTTGCTCAAGAGAACACAATTCACAACACCAATTGCAGACCACAGTAAACCAAAGGTTCTGAAAATAGATTCAGAGCAATATTCAAAATTTAATATTAAGGTTCATGCCCTAAATCAAAACACCAAGCAACAAGACAATTACCTTCCGCATCCGAGTCTTAACCTCAGATTTGCGAGCTTTGTTCCTGAGGCGTCGAGTCTCTGCTTGGCGTGTTCTTTTAGCTGCAGAATCAGCCTTCTTTTCGGTGGCAGCCTCACAGACTACTGAGAAGCCACGTCTCTGGAATGAGCCAAGAGAAGAGCATCCTAAAATACAAAAGCCATAGCAAACCACACAAATTACTCAAATTATATCATTGAGAGACTTATATCAGGTATATCTCATGTTGAAAGACAAAGACGAGCCTAATTCATAGCTACCAGCTACATTACAGAGGCTATGCTACAAGACCTAAAAGCATCTCACTCATTGTAAATAAAAAATACAACTTTATGGTTCAAAATGAAGCCTCAACTGTCAAGCATCCATGTCCAAGTCATTTGACAATTGACATGCGTACTTGAAGTGAAATGAAGAGTCTTAAGTAACATTGCTGCTGAAAATGTACTCCATAATAAAGATTAAACAGTCCAAGGCTACCTCTTAGAAGCCTTTCATTGCAAAATCACAAATCAAGTATCGCGCTTTTAACCAGCCAAAGTTTCACACCAGGAAATCAAGCCAGAAAAATCTCTCAAAAGAATGCACACACAATTGACTAAAACATCAAGAATAAAACCCAAATCAATTGATCCAACAAAACCAGTCTGCCATTAAGTATTCATTCAAATTAACAAAATTTTATTTATGCAATTGAACGGGCCCTAATAATGCAAATGCAACCCTCCCCTTCGACATTATGAACCTCAATCCAATATTTGCAGAACCAAAACTAATAGTTCAAACAAATCAAATGCATCTCAATCATAAATTATAAAGAATACACAATATTTACATTTTTTCTTCAATGATTAGGGAAAGTTTAAGCATTACTACCCGAAAAAAATATGTCATTTCATCAATTTCCATTTTTTTGTTTAACATACGAATAAACTAGTTAAAAAATTAATAAAAACGAAATTGGGTAGAAAATCATTCTGCTCAAATTCGAAGAATTGTTACTACTTCAAACAAAACAGAACAAGTAATACCAATATTCAAAAAGCAAAAATTACAATAATAATTGAAACCCACAAAATCCAAACATCCAAAAACAAAAGCAAGTAATTTGTAACTATAAAACCAGAAAATGAAAGAAACATAAAAAAAGTAGTAAATGGGGTAAAATCTTACCCTGAGAAAAAAGGCTGTGAGACAAATTAGCGGAGAAAGAGAGTGATTTGAGAGATGAATTGGGCAATTGGGTTGAAGAAAGAGAGAGATTATGAAGCTTAGAAGAAAGCGATAAGCATTGTGAAGAAACACAGGCCATGCTTATAGCAGCCATTATCTCTTATTTTTTTCACTATATTTTGGCACTCTTTTTTGGGATTTCAATTGACACAGTTTGAGTTTTGAGTAGAAGGAGATAGGAGGTTTTCTTATCCGCAAAGATTCCGGTTCCTGTTTTACCCTTGTACGCCCACTCCACTACAAGGTCTACGACTACTCTAACCATGACATTAGACGCTAACTAGACATTTAGACTAATGACATGTTCACTTCAACTTAATTTCATTACAGTTCAATTCAGTTATTAATTTTCTTCTCTAATAATTTATTCATTTCAATTCAGTTCAACTCTAATCAGTTCAGATCAGTTTAGCTCCAATCAGTTTAGCTCAGTTCAGTTTAACTCAGTTTAGTAAATGTAAACATGCCCTTCTGATTGATTGAAATGAACTGAGGGGCCGTTTGGTTCGAATGAGGGAATCGGAATGGAATGAACAAAGGTAAAGACATGGAATGGAATGAAAATCCCCCAATTTTGGAGTGTTGTTTGTTTTGAATAACAAAGGAATGAAATGAATGGAAGACCACCAGTCCAACCACCACCACTCTCCTTCATTTTCAACCATTTTTGGCCACCACCTAGGCTCTCCACCCACTCGCCGCACCTCCTCCACAACTCCCCCCCTTCGCCGCGCCACCACCACCCCTTGCTGCACTGCCTTGACCTCTCCTCCCCCGAAAAAACCTCCCCAAGCCCCGAAAAACCCTAACCCCGATCTCCCTTGACCCCGAAATTCGCCGCCCATCCCTCCCACCACCCTCGAAACCCTAGCCGCTAGGGTTTCGAGGGTGGTGGGAGGGCTGGGCGGCGAATTTCGGGGTCAAGGGAGATCGGGGTTAGGGTTTTTCGGGGCTTGGGGAGGTTTTTTCGGGGGAGAGGAGGGCGGCGAGGCTCAGGGGAGGGTCGGCGGTGGTCGGAGGAGGGGTGGCGGTGGTAAGGGTAGGGGCGACGGTGGACTGGGCTACTTTTTCGGTGGTGATGTGGTGGTGTGAAGGTGGGTAGGGAATGGAATGGAAATACCTAGGGGGATGGGGAATGAAGTTAGAGGGATTTGGGGGAATGAAGGGGGTAAAGGGAATGGGAAAAATGGGCTAACAAACAACAACAAAGGGAATGGGGGCAGTTGATTCCCATTCCCTTTGATGATTAACCCCAACCAAACGGCCCCTGAATATTTTATGAGAGAATGAAATTAAGAATTGAACTGAACTGAAAATAATCTGAAGAGAACAGCCCTAAGATATGATGTCTTATCTTACCGTAATAGAGTTTTAATCCTTAATTATTTATACATCTATAAATGAACGAAAGTTTAAAGCTATGGGAAAAATTTGCAAAATCAAAACCAATCTCGAAAAATGAATAAAAAAAAAGAAAGAAAGAAAAGGGTTCTTTTGGTATTGCTATGGTTTTCTGTTTTTTTTTTGTTATTTGTTTTTCAAAATCATATAATATACTTTCTATGTTCCTATTTAGTTGAAAAATTCAATTTAGGGGCACACATAATAAGGAGATGAGAGAGAATGATATGATAAAGCAAGTGAGGTACACTAGTAAATACAATGTATAAAACTTACTTAAAAAGAAGACGTGTCAACTAAAAATAAATTTCTTAAAAAGGAATACATGCCAACTAAAAAAACGGAGGTAAGTATGTCAATATGTATGAATAAAAATTAGTCAAACTTATTTCTTATTGACAACGAAAAAAGTGGAAACTCCATTTTCTTGTTTCTTATTTTTGGTTTATAGTTTTCAAAAAAAAATTGGATACATTAAACAAAAAAATAATGCAAAACAAGTTAGTACCCTTTAGTTAAAATTAAAACCAACATTTTGACATTGAGATAATTCACATATCTTGTATTTGATCAGAATTCTTATATTTTATTTTTTTAATTTTATTTTTTTGTTAATATTGTACAATGACACTTAAAATATAATTAATCTTTCATACAAGTATAGTCCATACAAGTGATACAACATATATGAAAACAAAGCCAATATAAAAATATTGTTACTTTATTAGTGTGCAAATGTTTTTAGTTTTATTATATCAATATTTACTTTTAATGTATTTACTTTTTGCTATTTTTACTAAATGATAATTAATCCATCGCATTTAACCCAATAAGTGAGGGGTAAATCAAATGATAATCATTAATAGTTGGATATTTTTATTGATGAAAATTTTAAATAAATAATTTTACCATTTTGTGGATGAATTGAGGAGATTTTGAAGTTAATAAAAATAAGTCCATGCTTTGTTCATTTTCTTTTCAATTTTCACGAGAAAAATGTTTACAAAATAAAATAAATTTACTTTATTCAATTTATTTTATATTAAATTAGTTTTTAAGTGAGATGATGTTATGAAATTAATTTTAATTACAAAACAACAATGTATTTCATTATAAAAATAATTACACTTTTTTTTTAGATATAAATCATTATGAAAATGTATATATTTTTTTAGGGATGAATCAGTTCATAAATATATAAAACATTATATAAAATAAAATACATTAAAATTATTTATTAATTAACAAATTACATGAAGCTACATGTATATTATATTACAATAGTTGACACACATAATTATGCACTACTAAAATTCGGTGATTTTACGACCAATTTATTGCGACTGGTATAAAAACGGTCACAATTCATATTAATAACGACGTTAAGAAGACTGTTGTAAAATTATTTATTTGCGACCGTTTTTTAATTTATTGCGACCATTGTGCCGGTCGTTGAAAATATGTGATTAACTTTTTTTAAAAAAATAATTACGACCGGTTTAACTGTCGTAGAACTGGTCGCAATGTTTTTAAAAGAAATTTAAAATAAAATTGTTGTGATCGTATTTCATTTGCAAGGGGAAGGGAAAGAAGAATCAGAGAGGGGGAAAGAGGGAAAAAAATGAGATTTCTCTGGCGACGAGCATTCTCCACCCGTTCTACCCTCCGACGAGCATTTTCCGGCCTGCGACACTGCAGTAGGTAGGTTTTCTTAATTTTCTCTTTTTATTTTTATTTTTATTTTTTATTTTTTTTTAATTTCGTTCTTTTGTTCCGTAACACTAACAATGGGTCGCAAATCTACCCCTAAGCAGGACCACCGTCGTCGACTTCCCCTCCTGCCCGTCCCTCCTTGTTTTCTGACGTCGGTATTCAGGTAAGTCGATGCATTTTTTTTATTTAATTAATTTGGGCGAAAACTCTAAATTATGGTCACAATCGAACCTCTTCGCAGGGCTACCGTTGTCGGCTCGCCGTGTTCCTTTTCTCTCCGTCCCTCCTCCGTTTTCCGTTGAGTTAATTTAGGTAAGTCGCTATAATTTTTTTTTTTCAAAATTAGGTTGCGTTCGTTAACAAGGAATTCATTTATGGAATTGAAAATGTGAATTTGTGGAATTCACTTTGCTGTGTTTGATAATAGTTTAATTTAGTAAAGAGAGAGTTATCTATGTTCATTTTTGTTTTGGTGCTTGATATTAAAAGAATTCATGTCTAGACCCTATTGTAGCTAATTGTTTTTAGCAAATTTGTGAGTATTATCTCTCAATGTATGATTATATAAGTGTTGGGTATAGATGGATTTATGTTCATTTTTGTTTTGGTGCTTGATATTAAAAGAATTCATGTTCAGACCCTATTGTAGCTAATTGTTTTTAGCAAATTTGTGAGTATTATCTCTCAATGTATGATGGTATAAGTGTTGTGTATAGATGGATTTGAGATGATATGGGAGTAAGGTTGGTTTTAGAATCTAATTTACAAACCATAAAGCTAACAGGTCACTATCTGCCCAGGATCAAAGATCCACTACTTACATAAACATACAACCACCTAAATATTTGCATCCAACTTCCTTCCACTCTATTACTACAAGTGTAGCCAGAACAAGTCACTTTTAAGCACAATCGTTCATTCATGAAGTGAATTTAGATTTCAGTGAGATCTCGATTATTGGTTTTTAATCGATTATTGGATCCCATTGCCTGTTAATAAGAGCCACATACAGTTAGAGAATTAGCAGCAAGTGAACCCCACTGCCCCAGTCTCTTCTTGGTTACTTTTGAAATATTTATAGCTTAAACCAATGTCAAGTGAACCACTAAACCCTGAAATTAAAGCTCAAAGACAGCTAACAGGTTGTCTTTGCTCGTCTGTTTTAGATTGAGCTTTACAAATCTTCTGGAACTTGAACTTTTATGGCTGGTTGAGTATTTGGTCTTTCATATTTTCGAGTTTTTCTAGAATATTGCTCTCTTTTGTTATTTTGTCTAAAATAGCTAATTGTGGGTCGCAAATTAACCCCCTTTGCAGCTCCACCGTCGCCGGATTCCTCTTGTGCCCGTCACTCCTCCTTTTTCTGTTTTTTTTTCCGTCGCCACCACCAGGTATGTCGTGTGTAGTTTTTTTTTTTTTTTTTTTTATTTTTTTTTTAATTTTAAAGTTTTTTTTTTATAAATACCCTGCCTAAAAGTGTAACACCACCATATACCAGGACCACCTTCGTCGCCGCCTCTGCTTTTCCGGTCAACTCCTCTAGTGTGTGTTTTCTTCCCTTCTTATTTAACTACTTCTTTTACTTGTGCAATATGATTCATATTTATGTTAATTGTTTATGGAGTTGTGATCCATATTAAAAAAAAACATCCTTATTAGATGCATTTTCATTTCAGTTTATTATCACTGCTTTACTTTGTGAATGTGCTTCTTGTTTAAGCGGGTTTTCCTAGTGATTCTTAAATTGTCAGTTTAGTATTAGCAAGAGGTTTGCTATTGATAGCTTGGTACATTGTTTGATTTTTTACGCTTTATTGTGGGTAGGCTTAAACTTGGATGTGTTTTGATTGGAAAAGAAATTTATTTTGCTTTATGTCCAATGTAGGACTATTGGATGGTATGAACTCATGTGTTGGATAATTTTAGATTTCGTTTAAAAAAAAAATGATTCTTATTGAATTACAATGGCTTTATTAGAAATATGTATGTTTAAGGGGTTATGATAATCTTTTGAACATTAATTTGTATTATGGTTCTATAATGTATTTTGGAAATTATTTTGTTTTTTCATGAAGGGTTACATGTGGTTTTTGTAATATTTTTATATTTTGATTTTTGTTATCAAACTCCCATCTTTGTTAACTATACAAATCATATTGCTTCTTTGATTTTATTAATGTTACATCAATTTACTTTGAAATTGGATAAATATAATTTATTAGTGCAAGTTATAAATAATTTAATCAATATTGTAAATTATATATAATAAGTATTTTAGAAAACATGTTGTAAAAATTATAAATATTTATCAAGTTAGAAGCATGTGACATAACATATGTTTAAATCTCTTAATAAAGAATGTGAAATCAGCTTTCCTGTTCAAGTCATGATAAGGACCTTTGGATATCATTTCGATTCTAATTGTATCGTATGCCATTATTATAATGAATACAAGTTCAGTGTGAATGATTAATGTGGTTTGTTTTTCATAGTGTTGTAGAATTTGTCACCATGAAAAGGAAAGAGCGTCGGTGGATGTACGATAGATATGATGGGGGTAATGCCCGTAGACTTAGGCAAGAGTTTGTGGAAAGTGTTGAACAATTCATAAGGTTTTGTGAAGCTCATCCTGAGAGCCCGGGCATAGATGAAGTAAGATGCCCTTGTTTGTTATGTAAGAATAGACGTCTTCATGATGCCAACACAGTAAAACTCCATTTGTACAAAAAGGGGTTTATACCTGATTACTATGAGTGGGTTTCTCATGGTGAAGGGTTCCCTACATCAAGTGTAGAGCAACCAAATACTTACCGTGAAATGGTTCTCGATGCTCTTGGGAGTACTCATGAACCACTGGGTGACGATACTACTAATGGTTCAGATGAAGAGCCAAATGCTCAAGCAAAAGAATTTCAAGAGCTTTTGAAGGTTGCCGAGCAGCCACTGTACGAAGGTAGCTCCATGTCTGTGCTAGAAATGGCATCTCGAATTGTATCTTTGAATTCGGAATACAATCTACCCCATAGGTGCGTTGATGGGTTTGCTTCATTACTGAACGAAGCGATTCCCGACAATAACAAGATGGGGAAAACATTCTATGATACAAAGAAGATTCTTAATGGACTTGAGCTTCCGCACAAGAAGATCCATGCATGCCCAAAGGGTTGTATGTTATTTTGGAAAGATGATGCTGAGTTGGACAAGTGTAGAGTGTGCAAAAAGGATAGATACAAGAGGACTTCAAAGGGGTCATTGGTTCCAATAAAAGAACTCATCTATTTTCCAATCACTCCAAGGCTACAACGGTTGTTTGCAACAAAGAACGTTGCGGAGGAAATGACCTAGCATTCTAAAAATCCAAGAGTCCAAGGCACAATGGCACATCCTAATGATAGTGAAGCTTGGAAGCACTTGGATAGATCCTTCCCCGATTTCGCATATGAACCTAGAAAGGTGAGACTTGGTATGTGTACCGATGGGTTTGATCCTAATGGCAAGTTTGGGGGTCAGTATTCATGTTGGCCAGTCATTCTAACCCCTTATAACTTGCCTCCATCGATGTGCATGAAAAAAAATTTATGTGACCAACTAATTCACAAAGTGATGGATGTCAAAAAACATACTTCAAACACAGTTGCATCTAGATATGACATTGCCAAATATTGCAAACGACGACAACTACATGTGACGGAGGATGCGAGAGGGAAAGACACTTTGCCGAAATCCCCATTCTCACTCGACAAGGCTCAAAAGAAAGTGTTATGCGAGTGGGTAAGGAACTTGAAATTTCCCAATGGTTATGCTTCTAATTTGAGTAGATGTGTAGATTTACAATCATATAAGCTTCATGGTTTAAAGAGCCACGACTGTCATGTCTTTATGGAGAGATTGTTGCCAGTTGCTTTGAAGGAAATGCTCCCGGTCCATGTTTTGAAAGCTATTACTGAGATTAGTCTTTTCTTCCGTGATCTTTGTTGTTCCACCATCAAATTGAGTGATATGGAAAGTTTGGAACACAACATTGCAGAAATTCTTTGTAAGCTCGAGAAGATATTTCCACCGGCGTTCTTAAACTCTATGGAACACTTACCAGTTCACCTGTCTTATAAAGCTACGTTATGTGGTCCTGTCCAATATCGTTGGATGTATCCGTTTGAAAGGTTTTAGCTCCTACAAACTCATAGCTGCCATTTTCCTTTATACACCTATAGTTTTTTGCATAACATATAACTTATTCAATATTTTTTATTATAGTTTCCTTAATCATTTGAAACGTAAAATTGGCAATAAGGCTCGTGTGGAAGGTTCTATCTGCAATGCATATCTAACGGAAGAGATAGGGTTCTTTTTCTCTAACTACTTCCAACAAGGAGTGGATACCAAAACACGTGACTTAGGCCGTAACGTTCATGATGATGTTAAAAGCACTTTGGATGATAGTGTTCCAGAACTGTTTAGGGTTGATCATGGACATGCTTCTACTGGTGGAGTTTGTCGCTTTTTGGATGAAAAAGAACTACGACGTGCTCATTTATATGTTTTTGGAAATAGCGGCATTCTGGAACCATATAAGAGGTATTAAATTTATATATTATTACACTCATTAAGATTTCATTGAATTTTGCATCGTATCCAATGTTGACCACCTTCATTAATACTCTTTCTCTAGTTATATGGAAGGGGGTTTGAGGACCACATTATTCAAATGCAACCCACTATGCGCAAAGAAGATGTGTGGATTAAACATGAAGCTGAATTCCTCGAGTGGTTTAGGTTGAAAGTGAGTATGATACGCATTTGACATCAACACGTTTACTTAATTTTTTGCTATAACTTCACGACATATATCAATTTAATATAATTATTCCATATGAGCAAGTGATTCAAGAAAAGCCAAATGATGAAATATTGTTTGCTTTGGCTATGGGCCCATCTAAGTGTGGGGAATAAATTTTAAGCATTAACCCCTAGGTTTAACCCCACTGTGATCATACACTAAAGTACGGTGGCGTCCAAAAGGGAAGAAGGTAGAGCAAAAGAGTCGCCAACAAGTTTTAGGAACTTGTAAACCGTTCATAGGGTGAAGGTTACACCCCTTAACGATCGAAGAGATCGTCAACTCCATAAGGTCTTGAACCAAATAAGGGTTCGGGGATGAAGGTACAAATCCAACCTAAAAGAGATTGAACCTTCCCTAATAATAGGCCTCTACTTTATTCTGATCGTATTCATGTGCGCTTTTTAATTAACAGCAATCAATAGGTTTAACCCTAAACCTGTTTATCTATGTGGGTTGAATTAAATGCACAAATAAACTATTATTGGCGATCACTTGAATTATAATCACATTAACCCTAAACAAGATTATTAAATATCTTATTAAGCGTGATTATAAGTACTAATTCCCTTTAAACATGCATAAAAGGTGTGATCAAGCAACAAATAAATATCAAGCAACATAATAAATAATCATAATCAATCATTATAATAGTCATAATAATAATAATATCATCATAAATAAAATAATCATCATCAAAATAATAATAATAATAATATTCATAATCATCATAAATTACAACAATTATAATCATAATCATGTTCATGTTAATATTAAAGCATAATAATAATAGCAAGATCCTAGACATGATACTAACAAGATTAATAACAAACCCTAGCATGTCACTAAGCAATAAAAATCAAATCTTTAACCCTAACATGATACTAACAATCATAAATATTAGGAAGAAGATAGGAAGCATCATACTTTTAATCATACTTAATATTAAAATTACCTTAGACATGATACTACGAATATCATAATAACAATTTAAACATGATTTCTACATCATAGTATCAATAAAAACCATTAAAGTACTTACTTTGATGCCTTGTACCTTTTTCTAATAACAAAATACACACGTTAGTAACTTCAAGGAAAATAATAATCAAAACAATTAAATTAAATAATTGAAAGAGAGATTTGGGACCAAACCCTTAGAAATTAAACCTTTCACGTCTAGGGCGAAGGCAACTTCGAATATGGCTAGGTGTTTCTAGATCTAATGAATGCGGAATTTTGTATGTAAAAACAAGGTGTAGAAAAAGAGAAAGATGAATGAATTGATTAAGAGAGGATGAAAGAGAATTGAAAACTGGTTGTAGGTGAATATTAATTGAAACTGATTGTTGATGAGAATTGGTGAATGAAAACGGAGTTTTTAATACGTAATTTATAGAGAAAATCAGCCAAAAAGATAAATTAACAGAACAGAGTCCTGGCGCAACCGAAACAGAGCTGGCGCCAACCCTGGCTAATTGGCGCCAGGCACCAACACTAGCGCCAAGCGCCAATGGCTGGCGCTAGGCGCCAAGCCTGGTTCTAGGCGTCAATGCCTGGAGTCAGGCGCCAGACCTGTTTTTGACGCGTTATCAAAAATCAGATAAGTTTGCCGTACTGGAGGATAAAATCGTATATTTTCCTCAAAAATGTTATTTGATTTTAATTAAAACTCTGAAAAGTTAACAAAAATCAATTTATCAATGCTAATTGAATTAGGAATGAAAAGAACCTTCTAGAAGAATCTAGAAGACCAAAACCATTCCTAATTGCATTAGGAATGATAAATCATATTAGGCCCTCCTCTAGATCATTGGGTCGTATATAAAGCTCAAACCGGGCCCAATTCAGTAATTTGGCCATAACTTCCTCAATATTCATCGGAATTGGGCTTATAATATATCGTTGGAAATCTCTTTGCAAGCCCCATCCAACTACACAAAATTGGACCCATATAATGGACCAACCAAACTGGATTGACTGTTTTCTTAAAATAAGTTTTCAAAAACAGAGAGAAGAGAAAAGAAATTAAAACTATCCGCAACACTAGACTTTCCACACTTTCACTTCATTCGATTATGATTCGACGTGAAAGGTACTCATCACCGGGTTTGGTTTTGGGGAGACTCAAATGGGTGTCTACACTAAGCGAGTGCGTACTTGGAGCCAATTCTATGTGAACGAATACAAATTCAAAACTTATAGCCATGGAAAACATAAGTCAACAATGAATTATGGAGTAAGCGTATCCAATGAAGATGGTGGTGATTATTTTGGGTTTCTAGAGGATATCATCGAGTTGGAGTTCACTGGTGCCCTACTGACTTATAAGACTGTTCTTTTTAAGTGCAGTTGGATGGACTCCACTAGGGGTATGAACATTGATCAACACAAGCTTGTAGAAGTCAATCATACCAAAAAATACCCCAAGTACGATCCATTTGTGCTTTCTTACCAAGCCAGCCAAGTCTACTATGCACCTTACCCAAGTCTGAAAAGAGACAAGGCTCAATGGTGGGTAGTGTGAAGACAAAGGCGAGGTCTGTTGTTGATGCACCAATTGACGAAGACTTTCTACAAGAAACCAGTTCTGACATTCCTACTCTTTGTGCTCCGGATGACATTCCGGACTATGAAGGTGATGAAGATGGATTTGGAGATTCGGATACTAAAAATGAAGTGCTGCCCGATGCCCCTCCAGATGAGTCCAATTTCGAATCTACTGATAGTGAGGACGAGGATGAGGATGACGGATTTTGGGATGACGATAACGATGATGATCTTAGTGCTGATGGGGAGGGTGATTCAACTGAGATTTAGGAGATTGATTGTAACCTAGTTTTAACTTTTTAATTATGTAATCTTAATGGATTTCAATTTATTTTAAAAGACCATCCTAGTTATAATGTGATATACTTGTGTAAATATGTTATTATTTATATTTTGCAAAGCCAAGGTTGTGTGTGACAATAGCTTATAGATCGTGAGATAACATGACTATATGATTTTTACCGATGCTCATAATGTTTTTCTTATTGTAGGTTGTCATGGCTGGTGGTGGTCGTCGGAAGCTGGGACATGCCACCCCGAGAGAATTGTTTCCGTCGATAAGCCATGCAAATACAGAAACTTCTCCGGAAGCTACCCCATCCCCTCAGCCACTTGTAGATGGTTCTGGGACATCTACTCAGTTTCCTCAGACGCAAGACAGTAACTCTCCCATGGGTGAGGTACCTACCCCCGTTGCGAGAAGGACTTTGCACCCTACAGGGTTATGGTAAGTTATTCATGGTTATCTTAATTTGCATTCCAACTTGAAAAATCTTGGTTAGATTAGTAAGTAATGACTTCATTTGTTTGCTTATTGGTACTAAGGTTCGATGATAACACCGTGAGCACCTCCATTACAAATATCTTTCAAGCACATTGGCGCGAACCATGGCTTAACTATGAAATGGTTGACGAGGTTACTAAGACCCATTGGTGGAACTCATTTACGGTATTATAAAACCCCCAAGTTTAGTTTACTCATCTAACTTTGGTGTTTGTTGGTTACTTATTACAATAAATTATTATACATTTTATTCTTCTTGTTTGCAGAAACTATACCTTTGGAATGATGATCTTGATGCCCTTGTGAAGAAGGAGTATGAAAAGAAAGCACATAAGAGGTTGAAAGAGATTACATACAATGTTTCGATCAGAAACAAGTCAGTTCCCAGATGGATGGGATAGTGTATGTTTGAGCAAATTATGGAGAAAAGAAAGGAGCCGGGTTTTCTGGAGAGGTCAGAAAAAGCAAAGAAGAACAGGAGGGGCGGCTCCTTGTCTAATCCAATTGAGCCATCATAATTCCAAGGTTCTATCTCTGCATCAAAGCATGCAAAGAAAATGGTAATACTTAATGGTATATAATGGTAATGATAAATTTTAGTACTTACATACACTAAGCATTTAAGGAGTTATTTGATTTGTGCAGGCTTAGAAAGCCGGTGGAGTGCTTCCAACTGCCCCTGAGGTCTTCCTAAAGACACATTTCAAGGAAGTTCCTGGAAAAGGAAAAGTTGCGGCTAATAAGAGGGCACAACAAATCTCGGTAACACATCTAACTTTGGAAACTAATGAAATTATTAATGAAGAAAGCAAAACATAAGCACTTATACTTGTGATTTGAAAGTTGAGGCACCTAACTTTGGAAACTAATGTGTTGTTTGATTGACAAAATCTTAGAATATAGCAAAAAAAAAGAAAATGGGTAAGTTAGAATGTCATTTAAGCCATTTTAGCCTGGTTATGACCTTATAGCCTTGTAAATGCTTGAAAATGTGTAGATTTTAGCAATTTGAACCTATAAACATGTTTTGTATGCTAAATATGAGTTTTTTGATTGACAAAATATTAGAATATAGCAAAAACAAAGACAATGGGTAAGTTAGAATGCCATTTAAGCCATTTTAACCTAGTTATGACCCTATAGCCTTGTAAATGCTTGAAAATGTGTATGTTTATGCCATTTAAACCTATAAACATGTTTTGTATGCTAAATATGAGTTGTTTGATTGACAAAATCTTAGAATATAGCAAAAACAAAGAAAATGGGTAAATTAGAAGGCCATTTAAGCCATTTTAGCCTAGTTATGAACCTATAGCCTTGTATATGCAGGAAAATGTGTATGTTTTAGAAATTTGAATCTATAAACATGTTTTATATGATAAATATGAGTTGTTTGATTGGAAAAATCTTATAATATAGAAAAAACGAAGAAAATGGGTAAGTTAGAAGGCCATTTAAGCCATTTTAGCCTAGTTATGAACCTATAGCCTTGTATATGCATGAAAATGTTTATGTTTTAGCAATTTGAACCTATAAACATGTTTTATATGCTAAATATGAGTTGTTTTATTGACAAAATCTTAGAATATAGCAAAAATAAAGAAAATGGGTAAGTTAGAAGGCCATTTAAGCCATTTTAGCCTAGTTATGAACCTATAGCATTGTATATGCATGAAAATCTCTATGATTAACCAATTTGAACCTATAAACATGTTTTGCATGATAAATATGAGTTGTTTGATTGATAAAATCTTAGAATATATCAAACACAACGAAAATGAGTAAGTTAGAAGGCCATTTAAGCCAAGTTGTGAATCTATAGCCTTGTAAATGCTTGAAAATGTGTATGTTTTAGCAATTTGAACCTATAAACATGTTTAATATGCTAAATATGAGTTTTTTGATTTCAGGATGCCTACCAAAAGAAGCTTGACGAGTCTTCTACTCAAGAAGGGTCACAACCGGACCCTAACAAGCTATACTGGGAGGTCGTTGGTGGTAGGAAAAAGGGTGTAGTGAAGGGCCTAGGTGCAAGTGCTTGTTTGTTTTACAACCCCTCTTCCAAGAAAGGCTCGCAATCGTACAATCCTTCTATAGCTTCACAGTTGGAGGAACGTGTGCAAGCCGAGGTTGCCGAGCGAATAGAGGAGGCAAAAGTGCAAATGCAGGCTCAGATGGAGGCACAGTTTGCTGTGTAATTGCAGGAGGCATTGAAGAAGGAGCGGGAGGAGGCGGCAAGTGAGAGTAAGCGAATGATGGAGACAATGTTGCAGAAATTGTTCTCTAACTGTTCAAGTGGTCCTCCATTTCAACTTCGTAGGGAAGATGACCTAGACATGAGTGGTGGTGGAGTTGGTCACCAGACTCCGTTGTCGTAGTTTTTGTTCATAAATCTCTTAGATTAGTATTTTTGATATAGGCCTTAGTATTTTTTGGGGGGAATATAGGCCTTAGGTTTTTTTTTGGGAATATAGGCCTTAGCTTTTTTTAGGGGGATATAGGCCATTTCGTTATTTTTTTTGGGGAATATAGGCCTTAACTTGGTATTATATTGTCACATGTTGGCCTTATCTATTTTTTGAATGAACATAGGCCATTACTTATTCATATAGGTCTAACTTAGTTTTTAAGTTAAGCTTATAAAACTATTACTAACTAATTACTATTATTATTAACTTGAACATTGTTATTGTATGTATTGTTGGAAGTTGGGATTTTTAATTATTAATATTATCATTTATATGAATTATGCATTTTATTTTTAATTTTTATTAATTTTAAAATTAATTCATATGATAACAGGTTATAGGTTCAGGTTAGGATAATCTCGATAATGCAAATTGTAGTATTATAATTGCAATATTGTCATATAATATTTGCGACCGTTTAAACCTGTTGCAGATTTAATAAATTGCGACATCCAGAAACAGTCGCAATTCTCTGATAAATTGCGACCGTTTGATTGCCTATCGTAATTTTTTAAAATTGCGATCGCCAGTCCACCTGTCGCAGTTACCAGGAATTTGCGACCGCCGATGGCAGTCGTAATTGTCTGAAAATTGCGACCGCCAGACCTGTCGCAGATCTTAGAAATTTGTGACCGCATTTGGCGGTCGTAATTTTGCATAATTGCGACCGTTGTGCCTGTCGCAAATTACTAATTACGTTAGCTGTAAAAACGGTCGTTGAAAATAAGGAAAACAGTCGCAATTTGATCTACGACCGCCAAGTGGACGCAATTTTTTGTTTTTGCGACCAACAGAATAACGACTGGGCCTTTGCGACCGGTGACGGATTGCGACCGTCTTTCTTCACTTTTTGCGACCGGCATTGGCGGTCGTAATTTACTGGTTTTTTAGTAGTGATGGATATTGATAAATTTATCTAAACTAGGTGCCGTATAGCGCGCGATAGTCCAAAATGGAAAATACCGAAGGTTGATATTGTCGATCGTATTGCTGTTGTGGAAAAAAATGAACTAATTGTGTTTAATGATATTTTGTGAAGTTGGGATGAATTGTTTTGGTAGAGTGTTTTTTTTTAAAAAAAACTTAAAAAGTAGGAATAATATATATTCCATAAAAATAAAGTTTCAAAAAAGAAGTGACGTGACAATAATGATATTTTCATGTGTCAAACTAATAATGTGTAAATAAGTTATGGGTAATTGTAAACCATTCGTTAGCCTTTTTTTTTGTCAGAAACCGAGCTTATATTATTAAGTAGGAAGAAGGTTTAAGTCAGCCATTACAAGCTCATGTACCTCTAAAGCAGGGTTGTAGCAAGGGGAGGGCAACTGGGGCGGCTGCCTTGGGCTCCTTGTTAAAATGCCCAGTTTCAATACAATACAGTGCCCAAATAAATATAATTCGTACTAAATAATATTATGTATATATACATTTAACAAAAAAAAAAAAAGAGAAATAAAGAAAGAAAGTGTGTACTGTACAACACTACAATAGTATTGTAGAATTCCAAAATATCAAATGGCATTTTTGGTAAACGTACTTTCCTAATTTTTTTGCCCAAATTATTCACTTTCCCAAGTGAATTTGATTAACAAAAAAAAAGTCATTAATTTTAAAGGAAATTTGGAATTTGGTACGTCAAATATGGGGGTAATTGAATTTTAGTACCCATCTAAAATTTAATTTTAAATTGGTACCTCCAAAACATCAAAACTGTAGATATCAGTACCTCCGTTAAGCTTCTGTCATATTTTCCGTTAGTGGGTTCCAGTTACCAAACTTCCCTCCCTTTATTCTTTCTTTCTCTTCGATCCTAATTGAATTCCCTCCCTTTTACTCTCTCTATCTCTCTCTTTGCCCTGTTCCTCCATAATCAAACTCCTCAACCACATGCATTTACTCCATAGTCTAACTTCAACCACAATTTCTTTCTCTCTCCACTGTCAATTGTTAGGGTTTAGTCTTGTTTTTGTTTTTTTGTCATTGTAATTTCTGCAATTGAGTAAGGCGTGGATTTTTACTAAAAGCTCACATCAGCAACTGGGAAAGGCTGGAGCTTGGGATTCGTCATCTCCATTGACACTTAGGAGAATCTTCTGACAACGACCCAGGTATGGTTTCTTCAACTTTTTGTACCTTTCCATTAATGGTTTAAGTGCAATTTGGATCAATTTTTTGGGCAATTTTGGAAAATAATTTCGCAAACCCTAGAAATGTGTGTTTGGATTAAATTAAGGTTAAATAATCAGTTTTATACAAATTGATTTACAATTCATTGTGACTGTATGCTTAAGTGTGGTATATGTGTGGTATATTGTGACTGTATGCTTAAGTGTGGTATATGTGTTGTTGCATATAATGTATTATTTTGCTTAAGTGATATGAACTTAATTAGGTTGGATTATGTTTGTTAAGGTACTGGTACGTGATTTTTTTCTTAATTTGTAGATTAAACAAATGGATCAGCTTGATAACACTGTTGACATAAAGCTAAGACTGTTTGGGGGTTTTGTGTTTAAGAAAAGAAAAAGAAAGGGGAGTGAGTATCAAGTATATGAGGCTGGTTTTGTTTACTGGAGGTTGGGTGTGCCTTTGTCTTTTATAACTATGGGTTACTTGAGATATCTATGTGCTGAAGGGTTTAGGGAAAAGGGGTGGGCAGTCCCTTACATTTATGTGTTATGGTATAAAAAGAAGGGAGAAACATAGATGACTGGGAAAAAGAGATTAGAGGATGATGAGGGTGTAGAGGGCTTTCTTGAGGCTAAACACAAAGATGGCTACTTGGAGTTATTCTGCACTGTTGCTGAACAAAACCCACTTGACCAAAAAAATCCAAATCAGACTGAAGGCCCAAGTGGAAATCCAAACACAAACCAAAACCTGAGCCCACCCAAAGACATTGAGAGTCAGTCTAAAGTCAACCCACCTCAAACTTCTCTTACTAAAAAAGTGTCAAAACCCACTGTTATAGCAAAAATCTCAGCAAAACAAACTCCCCAAAAGGCTTCTAGTGCATTAGTTGTGAGGAGGAGCCCTAGGTGGCAACAATCCAACCGAACAGAAACTGCTACTGTAGTGAGTGAGGTAATACTTATGAGGAGTCCTAGGTTTTTTGATGGGAGTGATAAGGTTAAACCTGCAATTGATAAAGGGAAAGGGAAGATTTCAGAAGAGCTTGAGTTGGGTAGCAGGAGAGAAAAAGTAGAGGGGAAAGGAAAAGGCAGGTGTCAAAAGAAGTTGTTCATTGATGATGAGGATACTGAATCTGGATCTTCAAGTGAGGATTTGAGTGACATAGATATAGATTGGAATTTAGGAGACGAGGAAGAAGGTGATTCTGAAGATGAGAGGGTGGATCAGGGTACAAGTCACATTTTAGGAGAGGTAGAAAGGAGCTTAGCAATTGTGCAGGTTGGTCAGAGCAGTAAGCAGAAATTGGACCAGCTTGTTAAGGATATTGGGCAGCCTAAGGTTGAACTTCAGGAAGAAGAAAGTGATGATGATGAGCTCAAAAGTGAGCATAGGTCTGATGAAGAGGCAGATGACAATCCATGGTTTAGAGAGGAGACAGATTTCAAAAAACCAGTTGTGTTAGTGAAGGGTCAGAAATTTAGCAACATTTTGGTGCTTAGGAAAGCTCTAAGAACTCATGTAGTTGAGAATAGATATGAGTTCTATTTTTTGCAAAACAACAAGGTCAAGTTGACCACTTTCTGTAGGAGGAGATGTGGGTGTGTATGGGATTCAAAGAGGAGCAAGCTGCCTGTTTGTCAGTGCAGTGAGGAAGTTAGGAGGTGCAGGTTCAAGGTGATTTCTAGGTCTTTGTTCAAGAGTTGTGCCTGGAAAATTCATGATATTAGGTTAGAACATAACTGTATGAGGAGCAATATGAATGCAAATGTGACTGCAGAGTGGTTAGCTGAAAAATATGTTGAAGAGTGGAGAAGTAATCCACACTAGAAGACTAACAGCTTCAGGGATAGAGTGTTAAGTGATTTGGGTATCAAAATTGGGTACTACAAGGCATGGCTAGCTAGAGCAAGGGCAAAATTCATGATATATGGGTCTGCATCTGAGCAGTATGCCAGAGTATGGGATTATGGCAAGGCTGTTTAAAAGTATAGCCCTGGGACTGTAGTTAATTTGGTGGTAGATCAGCTGGAGAGGCCAAAGCCACCTTTGTTCTTAAGAATGTTTGTGTGCCTGTCTCCATTGGTGAGGGGTTTCTTTAAAGGGTGTAAGCCACTAATAGGGGTGGATGGATGCCATTTGAAAGGCTCTTACCCTGGTCAGATTTTGGTGGCTGTAGGAAAGGATGGGAACAACAGTATCTACCCCTTTGCTTGGGCTACTATTGAGGTGGAGAATAAGGAAACCTGGTGCTGGTTCTTGGAATGCTTGAAGCAGAGTCTAGATGACTTAGCAATGGGAGGTGGATTCACATACATGTCAGATAGGCAGAAGATTAGTTGAGAATGTTGTATTTTTTCTATTTTTTGTACCTGTCTGCATTTATGTGTAACTGACAAGAGTTTTGATCTTATGTGTTAGGGACTGCTTCAAGCATTTGAGGAGGTGGTGCCTTTTGCTGAGAAAAGATTTTGTGTGAGGCATATATGGGCCAATTTCAAACTACAGTTCTCAGGCTCCACATTCAAAGAACTGTTTTGGAATGCTGCTAGGGCCACTACTTGGGTATGAATAGCTCTCAACATATTGATTTTGGTCTGTGCTTTGTTGCTGATTTATGTTTAAAATAGCTCTCAACTATGCTGGAATACTGTGTTGATTTGCAAAAAATAACTTTTCTCAGCAAATTATGGTTGTATATTGTGTGATTAATTGTTGATTAGCATGTCAATGTGGTTGTATATTGTAGGCTGACTTTGAAATTGCTATGGAATCCATTAAATTCCTGAGTGAGGATGCATATGAGTATCTAGCCAACATTCCTGCCCAACATTGGTCTAGGCATGCCTTTTCCACTAACTGCAAATCCAACATGCTTCTTAACAATATGTGTGAGACATTTAATGCCTGTATTAGAGAAGCTAGGGATAAACCAATCCTAACCCAAATGGAGTGGTCAAGGAGATATGCAATGAAAAGGCATAATGATAAGTGGGAGGGTGTGAAAAAATACAAGGAAAAGTGATGCCATATGTCAGTAAGTTGTTTGAAAAAATGGAGAGGGTGGCTAGGCATTGCATATTACAGGTGTCAAGGGATGATACCTATGAGGTCAACCTAAATGCAGACCAAGTGACAGTTGACCTTCAAAACAGAACATGCACA